ATCGCATTATCGTACCTCCGACATTACGTACTGCTGTTCTCAATGACTTACATTCCGGTCATCTCGGCATTGAAAAGATGAAATTTCTTGCTCGTCTCACATGCTGGTGGCCTGAATTGAATCATGATCTGAATCGTGTTGCAAAATCCTGTGCTGATAGTGTGCACAAAACTCATGGACAGCCTTCAAAATGGACTCCGTGGCCAGTATCTTCCGATTCATGGCAAAGAATACATGTGGATTACTGTAGTCCATTCTTCAACAAGTATTACGCATTGGTGATCGTCGATTCCTATTCCCGTTGGCCAGAAGTGTACTTTACCACAACGCCTAGTTCAGAATTTACTATTCGAGTACTCAGGAAAACGTTCAGTAGAGAAGGTGTCCCGCATGCTATCGTCACTGACAATGGAAGTCATTTTATTGCCAAGAAAGTTACCGATTGGTTAAACTCCGTGAGTTGTCGTCATGTTCTCACTCCATCCCGACATCCGCAATCCAGTAGCGCACCCAAAAACTTTGTGGGCATGCTGAAGAGTGCCATTACTTCCCTGAATCCCAATGCATTCGATGAACTGGACAGAGACGTTGATAACTTTATGATGCAATACCGTAACGTACATTCAACTACGGGACACAGTCCAGCAAAGCTGTTTAAGAGTCGAGTACTTCGAACAAATCATCCACACTTGGAGTCTGCGAAAGTCGTGTATCATCGTGGTAACGATTTACGACCCTCCAGGGGCACTGTACTAGACAATATGGGACAAAGAGTATGTCGCATATTGGATCTAGACGATGGTACTGTACATCGCAGACATGTAGACCAAGTAATTTGTAATTTGCCCAATCCTGATACTAGTTGTGAACTTACTAATCCCTTTATTTCTGAGTCTTTTTCAGATGAATTACATCCCAGTACAAATGTCGAGAACAGTACAGAAGAACCCAGAAGATCTAAACGATTACTCAACAAAGCCCGCCGTGATTACAAAAAATTGGAGCTTCATTCAGGCTCCGGCGGATGTGGTGATTGCTCATGAACTATGAACTCTTTTGTTTTATTGAACACGATATCCTTGTACATTCCGAATCTCCGCTTATTACAGTTCCATTCCGTCGCTGAGATCTGTGTTCTGATTTCGTTTCGAGTTTTAGTTCTGGGTTGGACTATTACTGCGCGGAATCCGATACGTGTACGGATTAGTAGTCCAAATGCTAACCGCAACAATTTATCCCGATAAGCAAGTTGATCAAACTTTTCTTGCGGGATTCATCATTAGTGGTACCCAAAAGTGATGTTAAAGGACCAAGTTGATCAGTCACTGACAAAAAAACGAAACTGTGATGTTTAACCGCTGCTAAGTTGGCAGAGGGTGTACCAGAAGAATATCAGCTACCTGTGTTTATAGATTCTTCAATAACATTTGATAGGATCCTATATGCGCCGTGATGTTCCTTCCATACAACCAATCACAACAGCAATGCTCTGATCAATCGGATGCCCATCGGTAGTGGCATTCCTGCTGATCAAGTGTTAAAAGTTGAGGGAACACATGCCATCCACGGATTGCTAGATGAGCAACAGTGGAGCAAATCAAATATGTGATATTTATTCATGTGTAATGAGGCCTAGACTCACAACTCTTCTGCGTTCACCCTGTTTTTGGATAATTCATTAGGCCATTGGTCTGTGCCCGATCTGGTGATGCTCGTGTACCAGTAGACTTTCTGGCGGTAGAAATCGACTCCGAAGCTCAGCGTACTGTGATATTCTTTTGGGGTGTTATGCGGTTCTTGGTTTTTGAACTGTATACTTCCAAACCTTAAATAGCCAAATTAATTACCTAATATTAAGCCATCATACCAACTGGTTTTACTCCATCGTAAGACAAATATTCATTCAGCTGCTACCGCCTGACTCTTAACCGGTTCAAGTTGAGTAGTTATGCAACAAATATAAAACAGCGCTGCCAATTCATGATCAAGAAACTCGCTTTATTTTTAAGAAATCAAGCGAGGTGAAGTACTACAGATTAGAGATGTGTGCCATAGTTCTTGCTCACAGGTGGGTAAGGGCTTATAGCTAACATGCACTGTACACGACTATACGCATTTAGTTCGATCCTTGTGTACCTACTGGATGCGTAATATCAGACGAGATTTTTCTGGCCAGCGTTTTGCAGGCTTTGATTGATTGAAAGGCAACTACGTGGATAAAGTGACCTCGGGGTCACTCGCTCCAGACGATGAAAGTCTAAGGGATCGTGAGACCGATTTACGAATTGGCTTGAGAAGCTAGCCATGAAATCTTTCCCGGTAGGCACAAATAGGGCGAATGAGGTGTGATGCATGCACGTAGAAGCCTTTTGACTAAATGCAGTGGTATGCATAAAAAACAAAACGAAATTCTCCTAGCTCTCGTGAAGGCCATAAAAGTATTATCCGGCGATGTGATAAGTGATGGCTTCAATAAGTACATACCCATGATTAAAAGCTGCGTAGACTTAAATATAATGGGTAACCTTTCTAGCCAAAACAGAACATTTATCAAGTAACTCAGATGTAACGCAAGGCTGATAAGTAGGTAATACAAAAAGTATTATTCTGCAGAGCAAGAAAAAATGCCAATCAAACAGAAAAGATAATCCAAAAACTGACCTTGGCTTATTCTGTCGTCAACGAGACCAGAGGTGCAGATTGTGCAGTAAAACACTTGAACAATATGAACGCCGGTTAACGAACTCACAGGGAAGAGACATATTGTAACGAGAAGGTGAGTCGGCTGGCAAAACGATTATTGATCCAATTCAAAAACAATCTGTGTATGCGTTCATTTATATGCAATCAATTCGCCGTTGCGCGGCAAGATGATTCATGCCTCATTCTGTTGGTCCATTCCTGTTGGTTTTGGTCCGCACTTGGCACGTACGTTTCCTCTTCTTCCGCGTGCCGTTCCGACTGGTTTGATCCGATCATAGCGCGCGATTCGTTGATTGACAGCTCCGACGTTGTGGTATTCGGTGGATATCTTTTTGGCTAGATGCGGATTGTCCGCCGGGCTTTAATTGTCGATTCGTCCGTTTCGAGTGGTAGTCGACATTGTCTCGCGAAGTACTTCCAGCCGCTACATCTGCGCACCTGGTTGGATCGGCCGTATTCTTGATTCGCTCGCTATCCGGGACTCTCTTTGTACCACCCTCCATCACAATATGTAGTAGGCTTGCTATAACTTGTCATTGGTTGAACCTTTTACCGCTCCGACCACACACACACACAAACACACACACGTCATATTTATTCGGTTCAGGCCAAGATCTAGTCATTTCAGTCAATAAGACTTCAGCGTTGTGTTCTCTGGGCTGACTGATTCGTTGCCCACTTGTCTACTTTGTTGGACCACATCACGTTTGCGTGTGAAAAATGAGCATGTTATCGCCACCTGGCCTGAATAATTGCCTCACGCACGCACGCTTTCACCGATGTAACTGTATTCTTACAAGGTTAATGTGCTAATCCAGGCCTACACGATAGCGCCTATCCTGGAGCGGCGCGTTACAGTTTCAGGACATTAGCGATCGATCAGGTTTGAATGTTGACGTCAATAGCACGTGCATAGCTTCTGAATACACGTCATTGGCAGATGGTGCCAGCCAAT